TAATAATTAATACTTCTTCGTCCTTACGACGGCTTCTGAAGAGACCGGAAGTTGATCAGAATAATTACAGCCAAATCAAAAAAGGAAGAACGGGGATCCTGCCACTGGGCAGACTCGCAGGAAATAGCCGCCAAGAGAAAAAAACAAGCAAGCGGGTTCCGGCCTCGGACGGTCAGGCTCTCTCGGTGTTTCGAAATTTTGAGGTTTTCGTGGCGCGCCGGGATACTGTAATTGGGGATCATGGTTTTCGTAGCTGGACCCCCGCTGCCCTTGGGCACGGTTATTACTTCAAGCGCTAACCTTAGTGCTTGATAATTGGTTGCAGGGAAAGGGAGGATCGTTTCAATGTTTTGTATTTTTTATTCAACGGAAACGTCTTGGGGGATGCACAAAAAGGCGAATTAGGCGGCACTCGAAAATCTTTGGTCATACTTTCCCCATCGACGAGTTTCGGATGGAAACACGGGGCAGAGTGGTGTATCAAGTTTTACTTTCAGCATCAAATATATGGTTAGAAAAGCATTGGTGATGAGGTGATGATGAGAATGGGGTCCTACTTATGGGGTGCCCGCTTCACATGTTGCGATGGAAGGGGATCATAATTTTGAAAAAGTACATAAAAGCGTGGAAAGGGGAAGGCCTTTCACGTCTGCTTTTCCAATCACCCTGCTATTTCACGCCCTATGCTGAGCCACGCACCACCTCCCGCAGTGGGCGGTCACAGCTAACGCCAGGCGACGATAGCTAACAAAACGTCCGGGGCCTTATTACCGCTATTTTGAAGTACTGGCGTGATGTCATCGCGTGGGTGGCCACGCACAGAGGTGATCGGGAATGGTTTGGCCGCCTAATCCCAACCTTTGCCTTTGAAATTCAGTGTAAATGAGACGACTGCAACGATTTCCTCAGACAAGACAATTACTCGAACATCGTGCATTTCAGGAGGCGTGACGATTCCGGCTGGAGTTACAACGTTGGTCGTACCATTCGGCACTCATAGAGATCCTAAGGTAATCTTTCGAATATTTTTCGATAGTATGGAGGTCCATTTAGCTCATGTTTTTGAAGAATTCACGGACTAGCCAAAGCGGATATTTAACTTGCACAACAGCGCTCTGACCTTATATCCAAAGATTATCTGGCACATTGGGAGAAGTTCATAACATAAACCATCATAGAAACCCTATGAGAAGGGCATAGTTCTCTTTGAAGAAGTTTCCCCCAAAGCGCGTCATGGGCAAAGTGGCTCTTTTTGCCCATCTCCTCCCCCCTCCTGATTTAAAGGAGGAATTCACGATAAGAATGAAGGTCGAAGAAGGAGAAATTTGCCTAGTTGGGAGACAGGCGGACCTCCTGAGGGTGCTGACCGACGCGCAATTGGCAGCGAAAGATTTGACCTCGGCGATCTAGCATGGCTCACTCTTGGCGCGGTTGGCGGGGTACGCCCACCGACTATCTAATCACTCGCCGCAGGTCTATACGTGGCGAGTGATTAGATAGCAGAGAGAGCGTAGTGTTGAAGAGGGCACAGCGAGTCGCATCAATGCGCAAATCAACGGGCAAGGAAGGGGTCCCATTTCTCGGGTTCTGGGCCGTTTCTCATGGTTCTTCCTTCTTTCGTGTACCACTCACCATCCCTAGGTTAATTTGAAATGGGTTGCTTTTCCATCGTGAATTCGTCCTTTGAACATCAAAACCTCGCTCGACAACAGTGCGTTGTAATTAGATTAAGCCGGTCAATGCAAATATGTTGTGATTGGATAATCTTCGAATTAGTGAAGAGAATAAATGAGCGATTCTGCATTAAGGTTAGATTACATGGACCTTAAGTTTGACTCCAACCATGCCTCAGAGCCAAGCTTAGATGGGGTTAGGCTAGGATCACCAAAGGCTGACTGAGGGCAAAATAGATCCATGCTGTCAGTACAGCACAAGCAATCCGTCCTTGGGCTAATCCAAGCATTTTGCCCAATCCACAGCATGTCCTTTTTTGAGTAGCTCGTCCCAATTGCTGGACGTTGCCGTAACGCGCTGCGCGTACTTTTAGCATGTACAGTGGGGAACCTTTGGAGAATTACAGGGGGAATCGGTAACTTCTCGGGTTTTTTGACTCGTATTTCTTTTGAT